GGAACTTCCTCCCACGTGGAGCACAGGCCAGGACTAGACCCAGTCATCACTATCACAAACTTTTCAGTTATTTTAGTTTTTGCTTTGCTGTTGGTCAGTTGCTCAGTTGAGTCTATCCCTTTGCAACCCCATGGCCTGCAGCACACCAGGCCTCCCTGTCCTTCACTGTCTCCTGGAGCTTGCTCAAACTCCTGTTCATTGAGTTGGTGATGCCATCCAACCATCTCATCCTCTGTCGCCCCCTTCTCCTCCTGCCTTCAATCTTTCCCAGCATCAGGGTCTTCTCTAACGAGTTAGCTCTTTGCATCAGGTGGCCAAAGTATTGGAGTTTCAGCTTCAGCATCAGTCCTTCCAATGAATATTCAGGGTTGATTTCCTTTAAGATTGACTGGTTTGATTTCCTTGCTTGCTGTCCAATAAAATTCTTGGGGATGAAATAATGAAAATGAATTCTTTAGCAGTGGAGGAATTTCAGGCAGTTACTGGGAGGTGTCTGAGGTTCACTGTGAGAATCATGTTGTTTTTAAGCAGTAATTTGGGGGATGTATGTTTTTGAAATGTAATAATTGGTCATTATTTGTCAGAGTTTTAGAAATGTGAAGTCAATATGGGGAATTCCCTGTCAGTTCAGTGGTTTAGGACTCCATGGATTCATTGCTGAGGGTGCAGGTTCAATCCCTGGTCAGGGAACTACAGTCCTGAAAGCTATATGGTACAGTTTTAAAAGAGTTCTACTTTGTGGCGGGACTCCAAAACATATTTAAAATTTAGTACATTTCAGAAATACAACCAAAGTGTTCTCGGAGGAGGATGAGATGGAGAGGGGAGCTTGAAGAATAGGCTCTGTTAGGCCGGCAGGTTCACTCAGATTCTCATTTGCAAAATCCTTTGAGGCCAGGACTCCTGAGTGGTGCCTGGGGCTGTATTTCTTACTGTTTGCCTTCCTCATTTGTTCTCATAAATAACATCACTTTGCTTTTCTGTTTTTACAGTCTTTATCCCAGTATTAGGCTATTTTCTTCTAATAATAAAACAATCGTAATGATAGAAGGAGCCATTTAAGGTATTCCTTCGGACCACTTCTGGCTCTGAGGCTTTGCCCTGTGCACTCAGTGGGACCACCCAGGGGCAGGGGTGTCACCCAAGCTCGTTAGCGATGTTAAGGTTCCCAGACCCACAGAATCCAGGCCCCACTGTGGATGCTAGAGTCAGAATCCGCATTTTAACAAGATCCCTTCAGAGCGGAGAAGCCTGCTGCTATCATCTTGCTGAGTCCTACCCCATTCCGAGAGGNGTTCCCAGACCCACAGAATCCAGGCCCCACTGTGGATGCTAGAGTCAGAATCCGCATTTTAACAAGATCCCTTCAGAGCGGAGAAGCCTGCTGCTATCATCTTGCTGAGTCCTACCCCATTCCGAGAGGTGCGCATGCATTCACTTCCCACCTGAGCAAACTGCAGCCAATTTTGGTTAAGGAATGGTTCCTCTTGCTTGGTGGAGCAGCCTGGACCTGAAGCCCTATGTCTGGGGTGTCACCGTGGACTCCTCCAGTGTACTGCATCCCTTTCCAGGACAAAGTAACTTCCCAGTATCTCTCTGGGGCTTCCCCATGGCTCAGCAGGTGAAAAATCCACCTGCAATGCAGGAGATGCAGGGGACTTGGGTTCGATCCCTGGGTTGGGAGGAATCCCCTAGAGAAGGGCATGGCAACCCACTCCAGTATTCTTGCCTGGAGAATCCCATGGACAGAGGAGCCTGGCAGGCTGAAGTCCATGGGGCCACAAAGAGTCGGACAAGACTGAAGTGACAGCAGGCACACACGTAATGTCTCGCTGGGACCTCACCTTCTCACCTGCTGCTCCATGGCCCCTCACAGCCTGTCCAGGGAAGTTCAGAACCCTAGATCTGGAAGCCGAGGTCCTCCCGATTTGCCTCCCAGCTCCTCCAGCCCTGCCTCCCTCCAGTCGTGAAAGCATGGGGCCCTCCCCCCGGGACCAATCACTGTCCCTCCACGGCGCATGCACTTTCCTGCACCCCAGCCTTTCTTCAACTTCCCTTTTGACCCAGTGGCGGCTCCTGATCGTCTATGTGGAGGAGGCTTGGGGAGAGCCATCTGCCCGAGGTGAGGGGTGTGTGTGTGAGGTCTTGAGCTGTGCTTACATAGGTCAGGTGAGCTGTCCATCTCAAAGGGCAGGGTGAGGGTGGGTCAGCTGTCCTATGCCTCCCTTGGCCTGACCCGCTGTGTTGAAACCTGACCATCCCCAAAGACCCAGCCTGCCTCCTCCTTTTGTGATGTCCACCCTCACTGGGTGGCCCTGCCAGGTCCCCTCCAGCACCGCAGTGGGCTTCACTCATGGTGCAGACAACATCCCACCTTAGACAGCAGTCATCTGCTGGAATGTGAAGCGCCCTTCTAGACTACCACGGTGGGATGGTGTCCCCACCCCTCCTGAGGTTCATCCCAGCTGCACTGTGCACTGGCTCAAACTGCAGAAAAGTGGAGCCAATGCTTATCCTCAGAGGATGCTCACAGAGTCCTTGTTTTAAAATATGGGGTTTAATATTTGAGGTCTAGTAAGGCCAACAGAGGGCTTCTCTGGTGACTCAGCAGTTAAGAATCTGCCTGCAGTGAAGGAGACCCAGGTTTGATCCCTGGGTTGGGAAGATCCCCTGGAGAAGGAAATGGGCACCCACTCCAGTATTCTTGCCTGGAAAAAGCCCATGGACAGAGGAGTCTGGCTGGCTATATAGCCCATAGGGTTGCAAAGAGCTTGACACGACTGAAGCGACTTAGCACACACCAACAGATGAGAAGAGAGATCTTTAGACCAGCGAAGAGATCGTTTATTACAGTTCCCAAGAGAAGGGCCACACCACATGGGGGAGCACTAGGGTTGGTCAGGAGGTGGGAGGGGGAAGGAGATGCGGGCAGGAGACTTGATTGCAGTTTCCATGGGGATGGATACCTGGGCACAGGACTGGCTAATCTCAGTAACTGCAGTGGGCTCGGAGGCAGAGGGGTTGCCCCCAGGTGTCTGGGTGGCCCTGGTTGGGGTGGCGGCGGGGGGGATAGGGACAGGAGAACCAGGGAGGTGGTAGAGGGTAAGCCCTGCGCTGGTTGAGTTGTATTTGAAAAGGATGCGTGGGGACACATTGTTTATCGTCTTTGAGAACTGGCTAACCCTGGTGGGGCGGGGGGCAGTCCCGGTCCGAAAGGCCCCAGGTGTCAAAGCACCAGAATATAAAAGATATAAAAACGTGGTTAATCCAGTCCAGAAGTGAAGAGGAACTAAAAAGCCTCTTGATGAAAGTGAAGGAGGAGGGTGAAAAAGTTGGCTTAAAGCTCAACATTCAGAAAACTAAGATCATGGCATCTGGTCCCATCACTTCATGGGAAATAGATGGGGAAACAGTGGAAACAATGGCAGACTTTATTTTTTTGGGCTCCAAAATCACTGCAGATGGTGATTGCAGCCATGAAATTAAAAGAAGCTTACTCCTTGGAAGGAAAGTTATGACCAACCTAGATAGCATATTAAAAAGCAGAGACATTACTTAGCCAACAAAGGTCTGTCTAGTCAAGGCTATGGTTTCTCCAGTGGTCATGAATGGATGTGACAGTTGGACTGTGAAGAAAGCTGAGCACCGAAAAATTGATGCTTTTGAACTGTGGTGTTGGAGAAGACTCTTGAGTGTCCCTTGGACTGCAAGGAGATCCAGCCAGTCCATCCTAAAGGAGATCAGTCCTGGGTGTTCATTGTAAGGACTGATGCTGAAGCTGGAACTCCAATACTTTGGCCACCTGATGTGAAGAGTTGACTCATTGGAAAAGACCCTAATGCTGGGAGGGATTGGGGGCAGGAGGAGAAGGGGACAACAGATAGGGGCTGGATGGCATCACCGACTCAAAGGATGTGATTTTGAGTAAACTCTGGGATTTGGTGATGGACAGGAAGGCCTGGCGTGCTGTGATTCATGGGGTTGCAAAGAGTCAGACACGACTAAGCGACTGAACTGAATCCAGTCCTAGGCTTTAGAGCTTCCTCCTGTTATGGATGGTCAGGCTGAGCTGAGGGCAGCTGCCACGGACCTGCGTCTGTATCTGGCATCCTGGATTGTCCCCCACAGCTGGATCAGCTGGGTCTGCTGGGGTCATCAGACAGAAGACTCGCACAGGATCAAAGTGTCTGCCCACCACCCTGCCAGCGTCCTCCGAGGGGTGATACACCTGGAAGCACCAGTGGGCTCCTGGGCAGGGCTCTCGTTAAGGAAGCATGTGTCCTCCTCTCTGCGTATGGACGTCTGTCATGTTTGGGGGCAGGGTCTTCCAGAGGGGTGAGCTCTAAGAGGGGTGTAATGTTTTCCCGCCCTAAGTCAGAGGGTCTGAAGGCTGGGAGTGGGGACAGCCGGACTGTGGCTGAACCATCATGAGCAGGGAGACAAACTCTGGGAAAAATACATACACCTTTTAGTTCAACCTCTGTGGAAAGGCAGTCCATGTAGTCATGTATGGACGTGAGAGTTGGACTATAAAGAAAGCTGAGCACCGAAGAATTGATGCTTTTGAATTATGGTGTTGGATGTTGGAGAAGACTCTTGAGAATCCCTTGGACTGCAAGGAGATCCAACCAGTCCATCCTAAAGGTAATCAGTCCTGAATATTCATTGGAAGGACTGATGCTGAAGCTGAAACTCCAATACTCTGGCCACCTGATGCGAAGAACTGACTCATTTGAAAAGACCCTGATGCTGGAAAGATTGAAGGCAGGAGGAGAAGGGGACAACAGAGGATGAGACGGTTGGATGGTATCATCGACTCAATGGACATGAGTGTGGGTAAACTCCGGGAGTTGGTGATGGACAGGGAGGCCTGGCGTGCTACAGTCCATGGGGTCACAGAGAGTCGGACACGACTGAGCCACTGAACTGAACTGAGCTGTGGAAAGGTACTTTGTGATTCAGGTACTATGACATTCACAGTTTCAATTCTCACAAGCAACCCTGAGAGAGGGAGAAAGGGCTTTTATTACCAACTCCACGCCCAGGTGAGCCTGAGGCGGGGTGAGGTCTGTGCACTGGGTGGGTGGGAGGTCCCATCCAAGGCCCGTCAGAAGAGCACCGTGTCCTGGGCCACATGCTGGGTTTCAGTGCAGAACCCCTTCTGGCTCCAGAAGCAGGTAGTTTTGCAGGGTCTCCGGCAAGGGCAACAGAGGCACGAGGGAAAAGCACTTTCTGCCAAACGATTTCCGGATGGTGCAGCGGCAGAGATGCTGCAGACAGCGGGGCGTGTGCGCCAAGGCGAAGAGGGACCAGTAGAAAGCCTGGTGCATCTGAAAGAAGGCGGGGAGTGTCAGTCTGGGCAGGTGGAACCGGCACACTTCTTTCCTTTTTCCCAGAGAGAAGAGCCCTGATGGCATGGGGAATCCTTTCATGGCTACTGATGGCGTGTGTGTGTGCGCGCGCGTGTGTAAGTCACTCTGTGTGTGTGTGTTTGTGTGTGTGTTAGTCGTTCAGTCGTGTCCGACTCTTTTCGACCCCGTGGACTGTAGCCCACCAGGCTCCTCTGTCCATGGGATTCTCCAGGCAAGAATACTGGAGTGGGTTGCCATGGCCTCCTCCAGAGGATCTTCCCAACCCAGGGCTCGAACCTGGGTCTCCTGCACTGCAGGCAGATTCTTTACCGTCTGAACCACCAGATCCTAGCTAAAGTGGGTCTGGGCACTTTTCTGTAGGGTGGCTCCTGCCCAGTCAGAGGGAAGTCTGTCTTGGGTGATCTCAGATAATACGGGTCATCTCCTCGAATTCCTCATCTGCACAGGGGGCTTCCCAGGCAGCCCTAGTGGTAAAGAACCTGCTAAAGAACCCACCTGCCAATGCAGGAGACCTAGGAGATACAAGTTCGATCCCTGGGTCAGGAAGATCATCTGGAGGAGGGCATGGCCACCCACTCCAGTATTCTTGCCTGGAGAAGCCCATGGACAGGGGAGCCTGGTGGGCTACAGTCTATAGGGACATAGGGATGCACTGAGTCAGACATGGCTGCAGCGAATTAGCATGCATGTGTACAATCTGTGCGGGACTCAAGTCAATAAAACATGAGGGGCCATTTTCTAGAGGCTTCTACACAAAAAAAGTTCCTTTCTTAACCAACAGTCACCTGTGGACTTTGTCGTGTATGAATGCAGGGCCTGCAGCTGCCTCGGTCGTATGTCAGAGGTCGTATGAGATGTCAGAAGGTGAAGTGGACACACAGGCTTCTGGATCTCCGTGGCCCACCCTCCCTTGGACACTGGTTATGGAGCCCTGAGCTTCCTAAGCCAGGGTGGTCCTTGCAGCCCACAGCAGCCCAACCAGACCGGTGGGCTGAGAGAGGACTGAGCCTCCAGAAGAAAAACAGAAACACTCAGACATGCCCTGATTTGCCCTTCTCTTTCCTTCCCCAGATGTTTCATCCTTTCCTGAATATGAGCGCAAAACCCCAATGGAGAACGGAAGTAAGACGACAGTCTGTACTAACGGAGGAAGAGTGGGCCACCCCTCACCTGAAACACTTCTTCGGGGATCACCTCCTTCCAGGACTCAGAGACGCGGAGCTGAGGGTAGGAGTTGAAAAGAACCTCGATGACCGCAGGGACCGCGGCGCAGCTCTTCAGCACCTGGTTGGAAACAGTGGGAGGCACAGTTTGGGTGGGGTGGGTTTTGGGTCCAGGTGGGAAAGGCTGGGGAGCTGGGAGGGGCTGCCTGCGTCCCACTTCAGCCACTTCCTGGCTGTGTGAGCTCTCGAGCCTCCCAGGGAACAACAGCATCCCAGTAACATTACAGTAGGGTCGTGCTCGGGCCAGGAGTTCCCAGGAGGGATATGCTGATGCAGGCTCTCTGGTCTGGAGAGCTGTTCAGAGAAAAGGAATGGGAAAGGCTGGCGGTGCGGGCTGGGGGTTGGGAGGTGGGGAAGGAGTCTGTCTGCACAAGGATGGCGTTCCCAATTTCTGGCTTCAGTTTTCTGATGTGTCAGGAAGTTGGGGGAGAGGAGTTGCTTTGCTGTTGAATTTTTTTCTCCCCTTGGCCTTTCTGTTTTATTTTCATAGGTGGTCCCTACTGGCTGTGATTGTTTTCCTATTTGCAAATTCTGCAATTTAAGCCCATCAGCTTCGTCATAAAGATGGAAAGAGTGTTTGCTTTTTAAAAGTAGAACTCTTTTGTTGTCATCATGGAGAAGTCTGAAAGCACAGAAAAGTAGACGGAACAGTTTGTGTGCCCACCGTCAGCTCAGGGCCCATCCTGCCCTCGCCACGTTTCCAGGCCCCCTCCCTCAGGTTATTTTAAAGCAAACTCAATGTAGCCTGCCATGTCATCTATAAACATTTGTGTGTGTCTTAAAGGACGTTTAGAAGAAACACAAATGCAGAATCATTGTAACAGCTGAGAAATTAACAATAGTTCCTTACTGCATGCACGCTAAGTCACTTCAGTCATGTCTGACTCTGTTGACATTATAGACTACAGCCTGCCAGGCTCCTCTGTCCATGGGATTCTCCAGGCAAGAATACTGGAGTGGGTTGCCATGGCCTCCTCCAGGGGATCTTCCCGACCCAGGGATCCAACCTGTATCCATCTATCCTGTATTGACAGATGGATTCTTTACCACTAGTGCCACATGGGAAACCGGTTTCTTAGTATCATCTAATATATACTCTGTTTAAATTCACAAATTTCTCTTAAATGCCATTGTATCAAAACAATCATTTGTTTGCTTGAAAAAGAATTCAGATAAGACCAACACCTTTACAATGGTTGATGTGACATATTTTCAGATCTCTCTTTTTTGTTTTGTGTGATTTATTTGTTGAAGAAACTGGGTTATTTGTCCTGTGGAGTTTCTCACTGTTGGGATTTTGCTGATTGTATCCCTGTGGGATGCCGTTTTTTCTCTGCTTTCTGTAAATTAGTAGTTGGATTTAGAAGCTTGCTGGAATTTAGATTTGATTTTGGGGAAATCCCATGGACAGAGAAGCCTGGTGGGCTACAGGCCATGGAGTTGCAAAAGAGTCAAGACACAGCTTAGTGACTAAATAACAAGAGGGCAAATTCATTATTCTCTATTTTTGAGGTTTAGGATTTACCAAGTGCTGTGAAACTGTTCTGTTAAGTCTTGGTTGAGAAAACTGAGGTTAAGCAATTTTTTTCTGAGGTCAGGCATGAAATAACCACAGTAGACAACAGTCAGAACCAACTGCAAGCCTGGCCAGCATCCTGCTCCCGGGGGCTCCTGAACACACTCAAGGCAGTTGCCCCTTTTACAACCTGCCTGGCTTCTTTCTGGGCTTCCCTGCTGGCTCAGTCAGTTAAGAATCTGCCTCTAGTACAGTAGAACCAGGATCGATCCCTGGGTTGGGAAGATTCCCCTGGAGGAGGAAATGGAAACCCACTCTAGTATTCTTGCCTGGGAAATCCCACTGACAGGAGCCTGGAGGGGTGCAGTCCATGGGGTGGCAAAAGTCAGCAGGACACAGTGTCTAAACCACTACCTAGCTTCTTTCAGATGTAACGCCCCTTTAAGATACAGAAACTGAAAGTGAAAGTGTCAGTCGCTCAATCGTGTCTGACTCTCTGCGACCCATGGACTGTAGCCCCGCCAGGCTCCTCTGTCATGGGATTCTCCAGGCAAGAGTACTGGAGTGGGTTGCCATTCCCTTCTCCAGGGGATCTTCCCGACCCAGGGATCGAACCTGGGTCTCTTGCATTGCAGGCCGACGCTTTACCGTCTCAGCCACAGGGAAGCCCAAGCAAGATTCAAAAATTTCAGATTTCTCTTTTTCAGAGATAACACCTATCAACATTTTGTATATACTAAGGTTTTATGTATTTAGAAAGGAATTAGTATATATGACAAAATGAGCTAGTGATTTGCATATTATTTTGAAACTTGACTTTTCATCAAAATAGATTGTGAACAATTCAAAACTTACAAATGAGCATTTAAACATTATTTTTAGTGGCCATATAATATTGTATGAATGTATCATAATGAATTCAATGAATTAACTATTGTAAGTTGAATCAATATTTTTTTATCTTAGCAACAATGAATACCTCTGAATATAAATCTGTGTCCAGCCATTCTTATTTAGATTGCTTATACTGAATTGCTGGAAGGAGAACTGCATGTCAATGACTGTGTATATTTTAAAGGTCTTAAAACATACTGCCAAACTGTAAGTGTCTAATTTGTTATCCTTTCTGAAGAATTGAGTATGAGAGGACCTCTTTCTTCCTACCCAGATCATCTCATTATTTAAATTTGATAGATACAAGTTGAAATATTTATTTTTGTCAACCATTTGTCTTTCTTTTATGAATTGCTAGATTATGTCTTTTGCTCATTTATTTCTATAGTGTGTTCTTTTTTTCCATTGTGAAATTCGCTCAGTCGTGTCCGACTCTTTGCGACCGCATGGACTATACAGTGCATGGAATTCTCCAGGCCAGTATACTGGAGTGGGTAGCCTTTCCCTTCCCCAGGGGATCTTCCCAACGCAGGGAGCGAACCCAGGTCTCCCGCATTGCAGGCAGATTCTTTATCAGCTGAGCCACAAGGGAATCCCCGTTGATTTAGAAGTATACTTTTTTTTTTAAATTAAGGTTATTTTTCAGGGCTTCCCTGGTGGCTCAGACGGTAAAATTAAGGTTATTTTTCAGACAGACAACAATATTTTATCCTCCTCAATATTAACATTTATTTTCCATGTCCTATTACATTGACTAGAGCTTTAAAAGTCAATGTTAAATAATAGTAATTGATAGCGGGCATCATCATGTTAGTCCTAAATTTAATAGGACTGTCTCTAATCTTTCACCATAATCTTGGATAGTAGTTTCACATAAATTTTGTGTTGTTGTTCAGTTGCTAAGTTGTGTCTGACTCTTTGCATCCCCATGGACTGCAGCATGTCAGGCTTCCCTGTCCTTCACTATCTCCCAGAGTTTGCTCAGATTCATGTCCCCTGAGTCAGTGCTGCCATCCAACCATCTCATCCTCTGCTGCCTCTTTCTCATTTTGTCTTCAGTCTTTCCCAGCATCAGAGTCTTTTCCAACGAGTTGGCTCTTCCCATCAGGTGGCCAAAGGACTGGAGCTTCAGCTTCAGCATCAGTCCTTCCAATGAATATTCAGGGTTGATTTTCTTTAGAATTGACTGGTTTGATCTCCTTGCAGTCCAGGGGACTCTCAAGGGTCTTCTCCAGCACCACAATTCAAAAGCATCAATTATTTGGTGCTCAGACTTCTTTATGGTCCAACTCTCACATCCATACACGACAAATGGAAAAAACATAGCTTTGACTAAATGGACCTTTGTCAGCAAACTGGTGTCTCTGCTTGTTAATATGCTGTCTAGGTTTGTCATAGCTTTCCTTCCAAGGAATAAGCATCTTTGAATTTCATGGCTGCAGTCACCACCTGCAGTGATTTTGGAACCCAAGAAAATAAAATCTGTCACTGCTTCCACTTTTCCCTTTCTATTTGCCATGAAGTAATGGCTTTAGTGTAGTCAATGAAGCAGAAATAGATGCTTTTCTGGAACTCCCTTGCTTTCTGCATGATCCAACGAATGTTGGCAATTTGATCTTTTGTTCCTCTGCCTTTTCTAAACGCAGCTTGAGTATCAGGAAGTTCTTGGTTCACATACTGCTGAAGCCTAGCTTGAAGGATTTTGATCATAACCTTTCTAGCATGTAAAATGAGCACAGTTCTATAGTAGTTGGAATATTCTTTGACTTCTTTGGGTTTGGAATGAAAACTGACCTTTTCTAGTCCTGTGGCCTCTGCTGAGTTTTCCAAATTTGCTGACATATTGAGTGCAGCACTTTAATAGCATCATCTTTTAGGGTTTTAAATAGCTCAGCTGTAATTCCATCACCTCCACTAGCTTTGTTCGTAATAATGCTTCCTGAGGCCCAAATGACTTCACACTCCAGGATGTCTGGCTGTAGGTAAGTGACTACACCACTGTGGTTATTTGGGTAATTAAGACCATTCTGTGTAATTCTTCTGTGTATTCCTGCCATCTCTTTTTAATCTCTTCTGCTTCTTTTAGGGCCTTACAGTTTCTGTCCAGTACCCAAGTACTGGATTTTGAACTCTTATTGACTATAAGGAATATAGTTCCTTATAGTTCCATTTCTTCTAAGGAATTCTAGCTCACTGTAATAGATATAATGGTAATCTGAATTAAGTCTGCCCATTCCCGTCCATTTTAGTTCACTGATTCCTAAGGTGTCAATGTTCAATCTTGCCATCTCCTGCTTGACCGTGTCTAATTGACCTTGATTTGTGGACCTAACATTCCAGGTTCCTATGCAATATTGTTCTTTACAGCACTGGACTTTATTTTCACCACCAGACACATCCACAACTGAGCATCATTTCTGCTTTGGCCCAGTGGCTTCATTCTTTGTGGAGATATTAGCAACTGCCCTCCGCTCTTCCCCAGTAGCATATTGGACACCTTCCCACTTGGGGGCTCATCTTCTGGTGTTATATCTCTTTGCCTTTTCATGCTGTTCATGGGGTTCTCCAGGCAAGAATACTGGAGTGGGTTCCCTCCTCTAGTGGGCCACATTTTGTCAGAACTCTCCACCACCTGTCTCCATGACCTATCC